ATGGAATTGATATCATCATTGATAACTCTATGAAGTACAATTACATTCCATATAGTCTCTTTGCACCTACTTTATTTCTTATTCATTCTGAATGGACAGTTGGATGAACATACAATAGCCTAAAAGTAAGGGGCTATATTTGTACAACACCCTGTAACTTTGCATGATATGGGTCTATAATACTGTCTTGTAAACAGTTAACTACTGGTTTTGTACAGTTTATTGTTGCTGCACATATACTTATTGAAAACAACAAGATATAGTATTTTCTGCAATATGACTACTACCAAATTGGTCGGTGGTGATACCTATCATTTGGGTCTTCCGTCGACACTTATCTGCTTTTGCACCATGAGTCGTTCCATGCACATCATACCAGATTTAATCATGACACTCAGTTTACAACACTAATTTACCTCATTATAATGTGCATAACCTGTGTTTTCATTGAGAGGATGCTTGAATGCACGGTAGTGCTTTCAGCATCCTCTCACTAGTTATTTACAATGTGCCTCAAGATTTAATTTATGGAAAGTCCAATCATATCCAAAGCATTTCAACAATGTTCTTCCTATTGAACATTCCTCTACTCAACACCTTACTCAAATCATTCATTACAATATATAATCCTTACCACTTGTTTTTTTATTTCCTTCAACTTTTTACTTTATTCTTACTCGAATTTTTTTGTAAACTTGTTGTATATTGATGGTTAAGATAAAAAATAAAAACTTTATTTTTTCCTTGTTCATTACAGACGTTTATTCTATTCACACTATTTTTACATGGTTGTCTTCCAACTAGTCATGCTGAGTGATGTCTAATAGCAGCTGGCCAAATTACAATCGAGTGGTGGGTGGGTCACAGTCAAGTACAAATAAGCCATTCACTGCCAAAGAACAAATATAATCATTCTTTCCGATCAAGTACTTTAACCCTCTTGATTCAAATGACATAACCAAAAGACGTAAGACATCACCTACTTCCTATAACACACAACACCATATTCACATAATTGTTCATACATGTATACATTGTCACAGCAAAATCAATTACATAAATTTACCAATGGCTCCAGCAAATTATCTGCCCATATTAACTATAGCCTCTTTTGTAATCATCTAATACTTGTATTTTGTGTTTCAGTTTACATAATGTTAGTCCAAAAATGTCAGCTTTTATTATTTGAACACAATCCTATTATCAAGGTCACGTTTGTATTGTGCTGGTCCCGCTAACTCTGGGTTACAGTGAAGCGCCCTCTGCACAGAAATATTGTTAACCGCGTTTCGCAGTATAGCGGTTAACTATTGTCTATTCGAGATGGCAAACAGACGGGTATGGTATGTGGGGGTCATGTGACAAGGGGTATTTAAGTAGAGGACAGAAGATTGAATGTCAGTCTAGGCCAGTCTCGCTACAGTGCAGTTTTCAACTGGTTGTTTTGTAAGTTTATTAATGTTTGTTGTATAATACAGGGCGACACCCGCCACCTTCCCCTGGGCACGTTCGACAGTGCGACGGGTACAGGTTTCCAGGTATTTGTTTGTCCCCAAAGTTGTTTTTTTTTTTATTCCTGTTTTTTCTTGGGCGGTCTGCGTGCCAGTAACGGGGGTTGTTATTTGTTGTCGATATTTTTGTCAGTTATTTAAAAAATGTCTTTGACCGAGTAATGTTAGTGGCATTTGCCGAGCATCAATAGTCGATTTTTTTGCAGTCCGTGGAAGTTATTTTTTCTCGCATTTATTTTATTTTAATCGGAACACTACATGCAATGTAATGGCAGCCGTTTTTAGTCGGCTTTATTAGTGCGTTTTGTTAAATAAATGGTTCACCGGACCGACTGCACATACGTGGCCGCACCTGGCATGAACCTTACCTTATGTAAGTTATGTTGTACATTGTCGGATGTGACGAGTCTAGTAAAGACGACCCACAATGTTTACGTCATTATGCAGCGTGCACGCCCCCACTCCTTTTCTGTGTCCGTTCAGTGATGTCACTGCATATCATGAATAAATAATAGCAATAGATTCGCTGCAAATAAGACCAGTCTGTGGTGGTTTCGCGTTCACCCCACCTTTCGCAAAACTATTTTTTCCAATGTTTTTACTATATTCTCCGCTGTAATCGCGTCTATTGCTCCAAATACCATGGTTACATAGAACACAGGAACACTGAACGTGATGACGGGGTGAGTCATTCTCCTTCCCAGAGTTCCTTGCGGTTAGATCACCGAAAGTATCATTCTCTACCATCGGCCCCACGGACGGACCGTGACCCGTGACCGCACGTGACCCTTGTCACGCAGGATGCGAAAGTATCTCTGCCATCACACACCGCCATTTTGTGGTGAAACACCACAAGACTTTTACTACGCGTATTATTTGCGTATTTTTGCGTATATTTTTGTTATTAGAGGGATCTAGTGTTGATTTATTACTACTGGAAAATAAGTTTTAAAATATTTTATCGATAGCTGATAACGATATTTCCGTAAATGCACTGTCAAGGGTGAAATAGTTATAATTTACAGAAGAAAATAATTTCATGCGGCGGAATAACGGTTGCTAAGGTCTTACTCGGTTCATCAAGCTGACGGCCCTGTCGATAGCTAGGCGAAGACATATGAAGAAAGGAAAGCACTTCGTGGTATTGACAGCGAACACGTTCTATTGCCACTCCGTTTGTGCCAAGGAAAGTAAAAGTATGAGCTTCTCACTGTGAAAACAGCCAGAATCTACAAACAACGCGCACGCTTTCGTTGGGTTCGAAAATCGAACACCTGCATTGCAATGGTTTGGTGCGCGTTTTTGAAAGTAGTACCACTCATTGACGCTGCAGGTCGGCGTCTTCTACACCGATCTGCGCATATCGCATATCACACTTGCTTCTATGCTATCGATAAAGAGCCATTGCTCGAAACGTCTAGCTATTTTTAATAGTTATTTAGGACTACGATTACCAAATATTATCTTCAATATATCGCGCTAGGTGTGCCGGGACGGAGTTCTACGTGTGATTTTATTGCGCTCAAGGACGTTCTATTTTCGAACTAGTTGAAACCGGAAATAACGCAACTACTTTCAAACTTCAAACACAAATTTGATTATCGTTATTATGTGTTAGTTTCTGTTGTTTCAAAGATTGAATTAGGTATGACAATAATATTTCACTCTATAAACAATATTTCACTAAAATATGTGATTCAAAGGCAACCCAAATTATAAAAAGCAATATCAAGATCCGCGTATAAACACTGTTGTAAAGGGGCGGCGGAGCGGAATTTTAGCCAAAATCGGCTAGTAAGGCGTCATATGACACATAAAAAGAATATAAAGAATATAAAGTCTTATATACATATAAGGGTATATTCTTGGCGTCATATGACAGCCAGATCTGAAGGCCTTTGCCGCATTCTGGCCATGCTGTGTGGCACGTATCGCGTGGACGGGTTTCATGTTCTCTGCACGTAATAAGCTCGGTTATTAAGCATCCTTTTTTGGGGATGCCCGGTGGCCGAGGGGAAGACGTGTAGTGGCGTGAAGCTAGGCGATTAGGTGCCGTACGCGAGCGCCGGTTCGAGTCACGCACGCAGTACGTATTTACTATAATTAGACATAGTCTTTACCTTGCCGTTTATTCGGTGTTATTTGCTTACTTTACTTCCTATGTCGACAGCAACTATGAGTTTAAAAATTATTTCTCAGTACTTATTCACTGTTAAAATGCTGTACCATTACTTTCACCATCCTACTACAGCCAGATCTGAAGGCCTTTGCCGCATTCTGGCCATGCCGTGTGGCGCGTATCGCGTATCGCGTGGACGGGTTTCACGTTCTCTGCACGTAATAAGCTCGGTTATTAAGCATCCTTTTTTGGGGATGCCCGGTGGCCGAGGGGAAGACGTGTAGTGGCGTGAAGCTAGGCGATTAGGTGCCGTACGCGAGCGCCGGTTCGAGTCACGCACGCAGTACGTATTTACTATAATTAGACATAGTCTTTACCTTGCCGTTTATTCGGTGTTATTTGCTTACTTTACTTCCTATGTCGACAGCAACTATGAGTCATATGACACAGGTTTGTGCTGGGACAGCGCTTCCGGTGACGACACAACGTAGTACCACTGTGATGCATCGACCAATCAACGACAAGCATAAGATCACGTGGTGGCAGAGATATATTCGTGATAGAACTCTGCCTGGGGAGATTGGGGGTGAGTGGAACACTATTTGAGGGGTAAAAACAAGTCTCGCACTCAGCGAGACTTCGGCGGCCATTGGCGTATACATTTGCTGTTTAAAAGTTGAACTTCTGTAAAATACTTTATTTTAGCTGGAATTAATTTTGGCTGAAAAGACTTTTTTGGTTTTATTTATGGTTTTAATTTTCACTGATTTGTGTCTTGTCGAATGTAAAATATAGGAAAAAGGGTATATTCGCTGGATTTTATTTTCACTGAACTATTCCTTCAGCGAAAATAGCGAAAAATAATTCCAAGCGAAAATAAATTATGTTATATTATGCAAGATATGCTAGTGGACCCACCACAATTCTGTTCATCTGAACCGTTGAGGCAATCTGTGTCTCCATCGCAAACCCATCGAGTTGGTATGCACAAAGAGATGTCGCATTGGAATTCATTCTCTACGCACTCTGTAGGCCCTGTAAAGATATAATATATTATAGTATAGTGATTTTTGATTCACGGGTAAGTAAAACGAAATTACATTAACGGATGTGACTGATAACTTTTAGTATGAAAACCTTAGCATCCCGTTGGCAGGCCAGTCACACTGGTTCTCACTACAAGAGGTTACGACCCCCCCCCCCTGCCAAATGCTAAAAACAACTGAAACATATATACACACATTTCCATGAAATATTATCGACCCGTGCGGATTATAGTATAGTATTTTTTATGTTTGTAAATTAAATATATATATTATCAATTCAGGAGGTTCTAATATCACTAAATAATCACGAATCGACAGAGGGAATCAAGCATTGAGATGTGCTGTTGCACTTTCCGCTGAAACACGACATGTAACGGCTCACTCTAATTACGTCACATGTGAGAATGGCGTATATTGGTTTGTCAGGTAATTTACATGAACTGGCGATCTGTGAATATTGGTAACTTTGAATTTGAGTCTTCTGAGATACATGACAGTTAAATTAAACTGACATTTCTTCGTGGAAGAAATTGATCACACACACTTGCCATTTTTAACTTTGAAAAAAAAAATATTTCTTTGGAATATTTGTGGAATTCGTGCCGTCTAGCGATGCCTTAATGCTCTAACGCGATAACGGATACTATGGTAGCCTGACAAGTTGGCGTAGGTGGCGCCCCTGACTGCTGGTGGGGATCGCAGCAGTCCAG